GGCCGCACGGGCCGTCCACAGACCAGAGGCCACCTCAGCGCAGACGCCCATGCCCGGGCGCCCCCCGAGGAGGCTGCGTGAGTCTGCGGGCACACGTGGTGCGGGAACACGCGTGCCCGGCCGGCGGGAGGCGCACGGGGTGCTGAGCCGTGTGTCCTCGCGTGTGGGGACGGTGCTGTGTGCAGGGTACGTGGGCGCCCGTGCGTGCCTGGGGGCGTCTCACCCAGGCGCCTGTGCACCCCCGCCCACCCACGGGAAACTGAGGCCCCTGAAAAGGCCCTAACAAGCGCACTCTGGCACCCTGTTCCGTTGCTTCTCCAAGGGGGGGGCGCTTGTCACACTTCGGGACCTGCCTCGGGGCCCACCCTGTGGCGGGGACGGGCACCGAGCAGAGGGCATGGCCTCCTCTCCATGTTTGCCACCCGCTGCCTTCAGCAGTTAGGGCGCGGGGGCAGGGCGGGGTCTGCTCTTGCCAAGGGGGACCTCTGCCTGTGGGAGCGGACCCCAGTCTTCGCAGACACGGTGCCCACGTTTTCACAGAAAACAGCAGTCTCTGGTGGCCTGCAGGGCTGGGAGGCCGGCCCCTGTCGACAGACTGGACGCGTGTCCGGGCTGGGCGGGCTGAGAAGGTCCAGCCCCGCGGGGGGGTCCGGGCAGCCGGGCACGCGCCCTTTCTCCAGCCCCGCCCCGCCTCCGACCCGGCTGTGCCCCCGAGCAGCCCCCACGTCGGGCCGAGCCTCGCCGGCTGTGCACAGTGCTGCGCCCAGACGCTCGGTGGAGGGCCTGGCAGTGCAGATTGCCCCAAGGCGCTCCTGTTGCTGTGCGCAAACCCTCCGAGAGGTGCTTGTCTCTCCCACACTCACTGAGCGGCGACCCCGGAGGCCACTCCCGGCTCCCGTCTGCCACACCCCGCTGGCGCCCCTAGAGCTTCTGGGGACCCAGCCTATTTGGGATCTGAGCAGGTGTTCCCACCAGTCGGCACGATGGAGAAACTCAGTTGTTCTTTGTCTGTGATGGGTGACTGGTCCCACCTTCATCACATGGCTCTCCGCGACAGCTTCTCCTCCTGCCGGGAAGCGCTGCGGCCCCCACGCCCGCCGAGGCCCGCACCCCTGTGCTGACCGCGAGCCCCGAGTGGCCTCTGCGCGGAGCCGCCTCCCCGCCCCCGCCCGGGCTCCTACCTCTGTGTTGGAGAGCTGGAACCACGGCTGCTTCCCGTAGGTGAAGATCTCCCAGAGGATCACCCCGAAGCTCCACACGTCACTCTCCGTCGTGAACTTCCGGTACATGATGCTTTCGGGGGGCATCCACCGGATGGGGAGCATGGTGTGTCCACCCACCTGCAAGGGGTCGAGACACAGGCGTCCGTGACCAGACAGCCATGGCGCGTCACTCCACTGCTCTCTTCCCACGCAGACACGCCTTGGCACCCCCCTTCTGTGGCGGCTACGGGCCGGGGGAAACCGGCGCCCAGACCTGCCTGCCCGTGAGGCGGGCAGCCCGAGGGGCAGCTGGAGGTCACCCAAGGGCAGCTTCCGTTCAGGGACGGTAAAGAAAGATGCAAGATGAGCGAGGTGGGGGGAGGAACTCAGAACCAAGAGCTGCAGGGAGCGCTGACCTGGGGAGGAAGTCTGCAGAGTCCAGGGGAGCACCTGTGCCAGGTGAGACACCTTGGCAAAGGAGGCAGAAACGCCCTTGGCATTAGCCAGCCGGCGGCCTTGAGCCGCCACCTCAGTCAGAACTGCGAAACTGGTGACTGTCTCGGGGGCGGGCCGAGGGCGCCCCGCAGCAGGAAGGCCCCGTGCCACAAGGAAGGGCGCTGAGGGAACGCGCTGGTTCTTCCCGCCACCACGGCCCACGCCTTGTCCTCCAGCAGTCTGGGCCGAGCGTCCGCGGGAGGCCGGGCTCAGAGCTGAGGGCCGGGCAAGAGGCGCCTGCCGCCAGCACCTTCACTGCCTGAGAGGAGGCGCCCCAGGCCCGAGCCGGGTCCGGGTCGGGACACGCAGGAGTAAGCCCAGCGCTGAGCGCAGGAGCTCCTGGCAGCACCGCGGGCCGCTGAGAAGTGCCCTGAGAAGCATCCTGGCAGCTAGTGCCCAGGCGCTCTCACTGTCACTGCGCCGGTGGGAGGGAGAGCAGTGGACGCTGAAGGATGCTTGTGGGAGGCAGCCTCACCACCAAAAAGGGATTACGTTCGCCTCTCCGGAAGCATTTCAGAAGATGTGTGATAGCATGCATTGTCCAGAGAGCTCTGCAGCAAGTTAAGGGCAAATGCAGACCTTTCTTTCAGACAAGCCAAGGCTCAGAAAGTTTCCCCCTCTCAGCCTTCCAGAAAATAAAGCAACAAAAAATTAATTAAGGACATACTCCAGGAAAAAAATCTACGCTAAACAATAATTTGGAACCCAACAAATAGTGTAGAGCAAATAAGCGACAAGAATCTAAATAATGAAGAATCTAAATAACGGTTGCTAACTTGGTAATAAAACGTAATCCAATCACTAGTGAAGGCTCCCTGTAAAATGGGGACATGAAGCATATAATGATGCTGATAATGCTAACGGTAGCACTCCCATTATAAGGATACTTATCCAAAATGGAACTCGCAGTAATCCCCACCATAACATGTGGAAGAGTAGACACAGTGACAGAGTCAAAGCCTGATAAAGCTGTCATCTAGAAGGTGGGGCTGCAGTGGGTGAATGGCTAGCAATGATTTGAGCAGTTTGCATGTCAAAGTGCTCACTAAAACTGTAAGCTTCTAGAAGAATCGGAAATGCGTATGTAGCTTCCAAGTCAGTTTCAGAAAAAAAGTTCTGACCGATACCAAAAACACACAGAAATGATGAGCTCGTGGTGTCCAAAGTGCAGCGGGAAAAGCAGCTTAAAGAACCACAGGAAGGCGAGCAGAGACAGGTCGCCAGAGCAGCGCCTCCTACTCACGGAAAAGTCAGTTTTTAAAAAGCAAGATGCGTGTTATTTTGAAGAGTTTTCTAAAGGGCATGGCAGAGAATATTGAAAGTAAAAGATGCAAAACTTAACAAGCGTGTGTGAAGATAATGTCCATAACATAACAGATAGAAAGTGGTTTAAATTATATTTGAAGGTGGCAAAATGCACTATTATGACAAATCATGAACTTTTATGCTCCAACTAACATGAGAACAAAAATATAAAAAGAGTAAAACGGGGTATAAATAAAAGGGAACTCACACATCTACAATTACAGTGGAAAATCAAAACACTTCATTCAAAAACTGACAGCTCAAGAAGACAAGTCAAACAGAGACACTTTTTGAAAATACAAATAATGAATTTCAGTGGAGGGACACGTATTGTGAGCATGTGTCTGTCAGGCTCATTAAAATGCTGGACATTATCATTATTATCTGAAAAAGTTTATAAAAGCCGGTAACTTATTAGACTTCAAAAGAGCCTGAAATACCAAGGGAATAAAGCAAGGTAAAAATAAACAATTTTAGTATCCAATAAAATAAAATAGAAGCTAACAACAAAAAGATCATTTTTCAAAAGTTCTTTTCAGACAGTTAAAAGCCAATCTGATAATTAAACACAAAAGGTAAACTTATTACTAGAATAACAAAGTTGACTGAAACCTATAGAAAATAGCTAACATAATTTTGGGGAGAAACATGTAGCATTTAAGCACTTACACAGTGAGGTTAAATAAGGACTCAGCAAAAAGGCAGTAAAGATCTACAAGACAAATTTATATGAAGCAAGAGGAAATGAATGATAAAAATAAAGTGAAGGATCTGTATAAAACAAACAACCAAAGTAAGAGTAAAAGCAAACTAAACTCATAAATAATAAGAGCCGACATCAAAGCTGAAATGGACATAGAGGAAACAAATATAAAATGTTAAGAATGTTAGAGCATTAAATCAGGGAATAAAATGCCATGACTGATTTATGAGGAAATATTAATGAAAAAGTTAAAAGCAGAAAACTTGAAAATTATAGGGAAAAAAATCAATGCTTTAAAAAAGCACAAGATCTAGTTGGTTTTATGGATGAGTTCTGTTAAAATTTTCTCTCTTTATATTTCTCCAAAGGAAAAAAATAATAAAAATGGCAAAGTCATCTTCTGTGACTTGAAAGTCCTGATGACAAAATCAGTTAAATGCAACATTAAATAGATAAATACAGATAGGAATATTTTATCTACATCTGTATAAAGTTATCTGAAATATAGTCTCCAAATCTGAAAAACTGTCATATGACATCAGCAAAATATTACAAAAATTTCATATAATAACTTAGTGTTTTGTAATAAAAGTGCAATATCTAAGCTTTAAGAAAGTCACTGTTTTACATAATCAAAGGGAAAAAGAAGAAATCTTTTCAAGATACCAAATTTTTTCAAAGTACTAAAATATTCCAATATACGTTTCCTGATTAAAAAAAAAATCCTAATTCATTCATAATAGAAGGTAATTTCCTTTATTTAGCACACTGAATAAAATATGTACTAATAAAACACGGAAAGCATAGAAGATATCTTCTATCACTGATAGTCTATAACCCTATGCAGACTGGCCTAGCCAATATAATAAAGCATCAATAATACCAGGTAAAACTAGTGAAAACTTCCAGTGGTTGCATGTGATACAACCATTCGTTTTCTAAAGAGCAATTAGAACCATTATGTGATTTAGTGAGCTACCTAGATAGGAAACCAATATGCAAAAATGAAACTGTTCTCATATACCAGTAGCAATACCTTCAACATTCAATGGAAAGAATACTGTGTGGTAGCAACAAGAAGTGTTTAAAATTCCAGGCATACATCTTAGCAGAAAATGTACAAGGTCTGTTTAAAGAAAAATGTTGAAAAGCATGAAAGAAGATCCAAAATATATGGAAAGATCTTTTGTTTCCTTGGATAGAAAGATCCATCCTCATAAGTCTCTCATTCCCCCACAAATTAACCTAAACATTCAACACCATTTAAATGAAAACCCCAATGGAATGACATATGGACAAGGTGATTTCAAGATTCATCGAAAGGGATACATATTTGATAACAAGATATACTTGAATTAGAACAAGCGAAATTTTGTGTCAGGTAGCAAAGCACATTATCAAACTACAGTCATGAGCACATCATGTTATTAGCATAGGAATAGACAAATTTTGTTGATCAATGGAACAAAATAAGAGTCCGGAAGCAGACCCAATTAAGATATTGGAATTTAATATATGAAATGATGGGTTAGTAATCAAAGTGTTGGGACAATGAACTGTTATTCATTTAAAAAGTACACTTGGATACCTACCTCACACCATATACAAAAATCATTTCCAGATGGATTAAAGAGCTAAACATAAAAAAAAACAAAACAATAATAATATTAGAAAAAAAACTTAGAAAAGGAATTTGCATAACCTCAGGAGAGGAAAACCTTCCTCAATAAGACATAAGCTCAGGCTGCCGTAAAGAGCTGAATTTAAGGCTACAACTTAATGAAAAGCAGACAATTGTGCGTGGCACTTTACACAATAAGCATAAAGATGAATGACAGAGAAAATATTTGTAACACATAGAACAGAGAATTAAAACCCCAAAACCTTTCAATCAGTTTAAAAAGCAACTCAATGGGGAAATGATGAAGGGTGAGAGCAGGTGGTCTTGGGTGTCACAAAGGCCGCAGACACACGAGGTGCCGACCCAAGCAACAGGGAGACACATTCTGGATGTCACGTGCGACACGCTGAGAAGACGCACGCTCTCTGGAGTCGGAGAGAGTAGAGGGACTTGTGCACCTCAAGGCACCGCCTGCTGGGGGTGGCTGGGCTGAGCCTGCCCTCGTAAGTGCCTCGATCCAGCAATTTCGCTTCTAGGAGACTTGGAAAAAGACTAGCTCGTGTAAGCCAAACTACTTGGTTGAAGATGTCTGTTTTATTGTCTTTAGGGCGACATGGTGCTCATCCCTGGACGGATATTCAGCAACGAAAGGGACAAGGCGGAGTTGTGTATCATCCTGCCGGTATGTCTGGGAACTCGGCAGTGAAGACACACGAAACCACAATCGTGTCTACGCCAGCATTTCCACTCATGCCCAGGTGTGTCTGCATAAGCAAATGTATCACAGGGCAGTAGTGATAGCTGTGACGGCAGAAAGAAAATTCCAGAAAGCTGCTCTACATGCCATGCTTCCTCCAGAGAGGGAGGCGAGGGGAACTTGTTGGAAAATTTAAAAACAATAAAAAGAAAAAAAACACGAGTTAAGGGAGAGCAGCAGACTGGGTGTGTTTACGTTCTCTAGCAAGAGCTGGTGTTTTATCCAAGAAAACCATGTTGGTGGTGGAACCCAGTAAA